AGATTTCTCGACCCTTAATGACGGAAACCTTCGCAGCTTTAATTATAATTTGTAACTGAACGAGAAGACAGCACCTGATTATTAATTCGAGGACAAATATTTTATTACGTTCGTCAGAGACATAGTCATCGTTACACTGTTGACGTTAGTTTTGATTAACGTAATAGGTGGTTTATGAACGGAGGGCTGATGAATATGAATCTGGACATGTGTCATACCGCATATGGCTGTTACTGTGCCAGTCAACGTAGCAACGCGTCGAACGGCGCGAACGAACACGCGGGCACTTAACGATAAGCCATCGAGAGGAGACGTCGACTGAATTTTTTTCATTAAATTTTCAGTTTCTCTCGATATCGGGTTATTCTTAATTTGTAATATCGGTTTTCGAAGGAATGTTATACCTCGACTAGTCTTAAAATCCTGTGGGGCAACGCGATGAAATAAATGTCGATAAAAAGAAATAAAAGTCGATTGAACAGTTGAGCGAACGTTCTCCGAATGGAGCGAGGATAACAAGGCATCGAAGATGACGAGGGAAATTAATTTCCTTCCTCCGACAAGCACGGTGCTCTTTACACTGGAGGAAATCTTCTTCTCGTATTTGCATAGGCAATGGGAAATAAAAAATTGAACATCAATCCAAGGTAGGTGGGGAAGAAAAAGAAGTCGCGACGAGTAGGAGGAAAATAATTGGGAGCACTTTTGAAGCCCAGGCGAGGGAAACTCGAGTGTCTGGCCCTTCGTGAAATCCCATGTATTTTTTCCCCATGCAAATTTCGCGTCAATTGTTACTATCTTTCTTGACGGAACCCCCACCCTGTTTTATAATACTCTCTTGGTAAATAATTACATTAGACTACCCTTTACTTCCCTTTACTTATATCTTCAATGACTATCTTTTTCTAAATTCGATACGCTGCTTTCATGATATATTTGTAATTTCATAAAAATGTATACGCGTATTTTGTAATAAATATCGTTGAGATACGTATGTTTGAATCGAGCGAGAAGAGGAATGGAAAAGATAGTCTTTCTTTTTGAAAACGCGATACCGGTGTCGCCCTCAAGCGAGCAAGACGGCAAAGACATTTAAGAAGACTCACCCTCTTTCTTCTCTCTACCCTTAAGAAAGTAGTTTCCACCCTCGTGGTAAGGCAGCTCGAGCGAGTCGGTAAAGAGCAATCTGAAACGAATATTTTTAAAAAAGTCAGCAACTTTTTTTAACTGGAGGTTATTTCTACAATTTGTAATACTTTTAGTTTCACTGAAAAGTGAAAATATCTGATGCTACTTAGAAAAAGAACGGGAAAGAAAATTAATATTCCGACTTCTTCTTGTTTTCTTAATAATATTAAATGATTAACACGGAGTAACGACGAAAGAAGAAACAAAGAACTCAAAATATTTTACCATTCGTTTCTAAGAATCGTGCAAAAGAAGCGAAAGAATTGGAAAGACTCGTCGGTAAGAAAGGAAAAGAATAAGACGACTTTCTTAAAGAAGTGGCGCCTCCTTTTAAGAAGTCTCTAGTACTTCTGTTCGCCGCTAAGAAAAGATGGCGCCTACGCCGAAGAAAACCTCTTTCAACCAGCTAATTCTCGACCCCCCAAAAAACCGCTCCCCCAAACAAGACTGCCACTTCTTAACGACGAAAATAATTAAAACGAAACTTCGAGGCGTTTTTATCGCAAAAATTCGTAGCGAATTTACCACGATTTAAATCCAAGAGCGAGCCGTAAACGCGGAACCTTCACCCTCGGTGGGAGAAACTCTTTTTTTCCGGGTTCACCCTCTTTTCCAGCTACCCCATGGAACGGGGATGTTCCAACAGTAGGAAGAACAAAGGATAGGCTGACGGTCGGTTAATTTAATCTAAGCAAACATCATATAGATGGTAGGTGAATGTGTAGCGCAGGATAGAAGCAACGTTGAAGGAGGGTTGGAACTCGCTGGAAGACGGAGGGTGGAACGGGGGTGGAAAGGAGCAGGAGGTGGTTGCAGACTCTGAATCTAGATACATACGTAAGTACAAGAGTATTCAAGATGGTGCCGGGGAACGATGTTTAGCATGTAGATGAAGATCTTGGTAATCAAGGGTTGCAGCCCCGCGGGCGTACTTCGTCAAGTCTTACTTATTTCTGGCCTTCGTCATGCAATCCGCGATCCGTCAGTCTCTCACCCTCGCTTCCAACCCTTTAGAGATTCTCATGAATTCCGTAACAGACATTTTTCAGTCTTCCTTTTCCATGTTATCAAGATTTCTCCAAGATCCTTACTACCATAAATTTGACAAGATTTTTAACTCCCAACACTCGGAACATAACGTCAAAAATAACATTCAGAAATATCCGTAAAAAATTCGTAAACTTGACCTATTTATGAATAATCGAGTTGCCTATAAAATTTCGGTGATCGATTTCGAGCGACTCGGTATGCAGAGGGGGTGAAAAAAGCGCGAACGAAAAATGCCCCAGAGCCCCACATACCACGCGGATCGAACACGCAACACGAGCGTACGCGCAGAAAAATCTTCCCCCTTTTTTCCTCTTTGTTTCTCGTTCCCTGTCGATCCTCTCTCACCTTGTGCACGCATAGAGTGCACGTGGCGTTCACCGTAAACGTTCGTTCGGCTTGGCAAGCCAGAAACGAAAGGGGTTGAGGGAGGTGAACAGGGTGAGCCTTGGTCGTTACACGCACCGGTCACTGCCACCCCCGTTGGCTATCGCCAGCACAAGCCCCCATGCAAAATCACCCTTTGTCCCGGTCTCGATAGGAAATTACTTTTTGTCCGTCGATTACGGGGTGAATTTTCGGACAACGAGACCCGATCATTTCGAACGAGATACGGCTTTGGTTCCAGATAGTCGCGAGAAGGGGTGTCTCGGGGTTTCGTTAACCGACCACCACCGTTCTACCAATAAATCGCACGGCCAAGTAACTCGCTAACTCGCTTCTCTCCTTTATGCATCTTTGTTTCAATTCTTCTAGACAATATTCTTTGCTTTAATTTCTAGACAATATTCTTTGCTTTAATTTCTAGACAATATTCTTCGTTTTAATTTCTAGACAATTTTCGAAGTAAATGAAATATTGTCGAAAGTAAAAGAAATTCGTACAGTTGAAAAGATAACAAAAGTGTCGAATCGGCTACAAGGGCTGTGTTACCTTGATATGTTACCTCGAAGTTACACGGATGGGTTTAAAAACTGAATTCTTTTCAGACCCGACCGAAACAATGGCGAAGTACGCGTTTCCTCGAGAGAAAAGAAGCAGTGAATTTACGGTGAAAAAGTTCCTCGACCGTCGTACAACGAAATAAAAGCTGGACGCATCAGAACAGGAAGCGACCATTCTTCCCTCCGGAGGAGAACAATCGTTCTCGCGATCGTTCTTTGTCGATTTACGAGACCGCGTCTCGAAGAAAACAGAAGTACGAGGAAAAATCGAGAGGCTGTCTCGATGACACGGTTGAATTTACCGACAATTGGTAATGCGGCTCGACTGCAGCACAATAAATCGGTATGGGCAACTGGTCGAGCCAACGAGCCGTGTCCCTCGTTGCAACCAATTCTCCTCTCCCTCTCTCTCGCTCTGTATTCGCGCAAGAGACACCGCAGAGAGGGAAGAAGAATGGATCGGCCGACGGAAAGAGAGAGAAAAGGCCGGGACACGAGGAGAGGGATGAAAAGCCAGAAGGGGTGAAAGAGGGACGCAGACTATCCCGACGTTTACCGCACGCTATTCTTCATACTCCATTATCCGTGCTCCGCTCCACTCTGCTCCATTATGCTGGCAACGCGTATAAACGAGGAGTCGCGCGGTTCCAAGCGCCACCGTCGTGTCCATCGGACGACTACCTTCGCGAAACACCGATAAACACCGCCCAGTTTGCCACCGACACGTGACAAAAACCTCACCTTTTTACCGACTCCCAGAAAAGGGTTGCTGTCGGTGCGAGTTGAGGGTCCTGACAGATATTCCGTTTTCGTGAAATATTTCAAAATGATACTAGCTTCAATATCTCCGCTCGAATAAGTATCGACTGTTCGATAGCGAAGAGTAATTGATAGGAATTCGGAAAAAGATGGTACGATTGAAGAGAAGTTGCGCTATTTCCGCGTAATCTAAACGTTTCCATCCGAATTCTCCGAAGTTGAATCGGAAAGCATCGATCGACGCCAAAGGGGTAGGTAATCAGCGAATTATTCAGGAAACTAAAACACGTCCACCAGGGAAATTTAATCTCGAGGATCGCTAATATCGAGCAACCGAAGCTCTGAAACGGTAAATTCGAAACGCGAATTCGTTAGCCGCTTACAGAGGCAGTGGTGGAGGAAGCAGAAGGCAGTCTTCTCTCGGAGGTCTACGTTTAATTAAATCTTTTGCGAATTTACATACACGCAGCTACGTTGGTAAGGATCCTTTGGAACACGACGGCTTTTGGGGAGAGAAGCTTTGTAGAGATTCGTATCGTTACCTGTGCAACCCTTTTACCTGACTGAAACGCGTCATTAAAGAGACCGATCTTATGTACTTTTTACGGACCGTGTAACGTCGATCCCTCGTTGTTCAGGAGACCACACTTTCGAACACCTTACCGGCAACCGTAAAGCGATTAACCCCTTTGGTTGTCAACTTTCGGAACGAACGTCTCAATTATTTTTTTTACCCTTTCGTTAGTCGGAAGGTATCGGAAGGGACTATAGGAGAAATACAATTCTTTCTGACTTGGTAACTTATAGAACAGAAATTATACTACGAATAAAGCAACGTGATAGTGTGTCTTATTACGTACGTCTAATTCCACTGCAGCCCTTCACCTGTTAATAAAAGAATCTAAAAATCTACTAGTTAAACTGAAAAACAACCTGAAACAGAAAATGTAACTACGCAAACAACCAACAAAACGATTGACTATAAATAAAAAGAATAATGCAAGAAAATATGGACCGGCAAGAACCATCACCACTTCGTATTTTGAAATACACTTTTATTTGGACTAAGTTAAAAACTACGATAACAATAGGTCGGTAGATATGTATATCGGAAATTATTCTTTCGGGGGGAGGCGCAGAGTGTTAATCGTCGGCGGTAGAAAAAAACAACGATTAAATCACCACCGACGCGTTCAATCGTATCGCGCCGTAGGACACTGTGACGCAAATTTCGGTTTTGGTTTCGGTTTACCGGAAGAATTTCGATGTGAAAGCGTACCGTCGGCATGCTTCTCTTTCGTTGAATCTTGACAAGTTTTTCCTCGTCCCTCGCGAGAGACTTTTTATCGTCGACTCGACCGAAACGCGATCCGCACAATTCTCTTTAACAAATTTCCACGTTTTTAACTCGACGAGAATCGCAACACCGAATCACGCTCGGACGATATTGCACGAGCCCGCAGTCGAATCGATCCACGTTATACTATGAAAACATAATCGAAAGAAATCGAACTTGTACCGACTGTATCGTCGACTGATGTTCTTTAAGTCGCGCAGAAAATAATTTAGAGGATCTTCTCGAATACTTTAGATCGCCAACAAATACTAACAAGAAAAGCGTTAAGAAGTAAAGTCATCGGATCGATCCTATAATTATTTTGAGCATCTTCGCTTAGTTTTATGAACCTTTTCGTTGATAGGAAGTTCGAAGACGTAAAAACGTAATCGAAGCAGAAAGTAAAATTTTCGCGTATCCTCGAAATGAAAGAATATGAAACTTAAGTCGAAAGCACCATCACCGTGGATACAGTCGATACAGTTGGTTACGTTTCTCGTAGTCTGTCGCCAGTGATGAATGACCCGACGAAACGACAATGCTCTATCTATGTACAGTGTTTATATACATCATCGTCATCGTCACCATCACCGTACCAGCACCAGCACGTTCACACCAGTCTCACGCATTCGCCATTCAAAAAATCCCGTTCTCTCCGTCGCTTAATTACAAATCAACCCACTCTAGAGATTCGTTGAGACACAACCAGCGGAAAGATCGATCGATCGTGATTAACCTTCACCACCGAACCTGCACCGTGACTGTCATTTTTCGAAATCGTTAATGCCCACTAAAAGTAGCTAGTTTCGTATCGAGCCAGCACATTTCACCGATCACAGTTTTGCTCGTCGACGATCGATTCGTCGTTGTTCGTTTAAAAAAGACGACGATACCCTACGACAGAGGCTCGTTCGACGAAATTCCTAGGAGAGGACCTTTGTCTCAATAAGGCCTCCACACGTTATTGTCCGGTCTGACTTCTCCCTCTCTGACGCTGCAACTGTCCGTCACCGTTCTCTGTTCGGGGCTCTCGGAATTTTGAAACTGGTTGCCGTACAGCTGAGAGTAGAGGATGCTGGGAAGCACACCGGACGTCGGGAAGTAGTTGCCATAATTCTGTCCGAAGGCTTGTTCCTCGTGCACGGGACTCTCCGTGGTGCTGGAGTCCGTCGACAGGGATCTGGGTGACATGTAGTCCTGGTACCTCTGAATCGATGTTCCGGACATCAGGCTGCTCAATGGATCCAGCGGATCCGACTGACCCGTCGTCGTCGAGTCCGGGACCACTGTCGTTTGCAAAAGAGAAACCAGCTTTTCTGTGTTAATTTTGTACTCGCCGAGGAACAGGGTTGCATATCGATCGCCTTCAAAATTCCTATAATCTTAACAAGGAACATTCTCGCGTTATCTAAGTTTCTCCAGAAAATCATTTTTCAATTTACTCGTTTACGTCATTTTTCAATTTCGAAACTTCCATGACAGCTTTTCTTCTCGTATCTTTTTCGCAAGATTTAAATAGCTACACGGAAATAAATTACGACGGGTATGCTAAATTTGATACAATAAATCTAAGCACTCACAATTGCAAACCGTGAGATGACTCAGAATTGCTGTTACCAGACCAATACTGTTTTTCAGTAGTAAAAATCGATATTGACGAGACGGATACTCGCGATGTGAATTAAAATTAGTAACGATTGGGCAATTTTTTACGAGCAAAGTAATTGAAAGGTTTGGATACGATGTACAACGTAAGATAACGCGAACTTTCTGCTTTGTAACGACGTTTGTTTCGCGACGATACGTTAGTCCGTTCCCGAGATATCGTCGTTCGAAGAGAAGCATAATTTTTAATGTTTTACCGAGTCCATCCTTGTCGCGCTCGCGGCCCGCCACTGACCTTCCGCGTCAGTCACGTGACTTGGTCATCGAGTAACGCCGAATCAGCAGGTTTTTTACTATTACTATCGTGCGTACGCGCTTCCTGCAAAAAAATATAGGTCACGGCGTTCCCGCGCATCCTGCGACCCATTCATCGAGCCCGCGCTGCGCACCACTTTGAGTTTTAAACTCTCGTATCTTGGGAACCGATTCACGTATCAACTCGAAACAAAACGTCTCGCTCGGAGCATACCCTCCCCTAACTTGTCGATACATTCGGTGCTAAACTTGTTCGGTCTTTCGGGGTCAAAGTTAACTGTACTCCAACTAATCGTCTTCTCGTTCGAATCGAAGTCTAAAGCCAACTTCAAAAGATATCTGAACGAATCAGCGAGTTAATAAACTTGAGAATAAGGTAAAAATTTGCGAGAGTAGCAAAGGTTGGGACCTTGAAAGGGGAAACTAGAAGCAACTAATCGAGAAAAGGAGGCAGAAGACTTACGGGAAGATACCGCTGAGAACGCATCCTGCTGTGCCGTGGATCCCGCACCGGTACCGGAAGTGACAGTGGATTCCGCTGTGGAATCGGGCGCCGTCGGTGTGTTCATAGACGCGGTGCCCGC